CAAGTTCTGCCTTAAATGCCCACCTCTGCTTCTCGGAGGTTTCCCACAGCTACGCTCCGTCTTGCTCTACTTGCAAGCCCCGCTCGAAGTTCTCCCGTAGCTCCAACTCTTTCTCGCCAGCCTCCTTGGTGAGTCTGGCCATTGTCCTTTAAAGCTCTTTAACTTCTTCTCCTCTCTTCTCTAGCTCGACCTTCTGAAAATCCACCGTGTGGAGCGCAACATTCCTCTCCGACAGATATTGGTTCATCTAAATGGTGGATAGGTTCATCTCTGTCTGTGCGGCTTCTAAGTCCCGTTTCAACCACACGTTCTCTTCTCTCAGCTCGACAAGCCCCTCGACGGCCCCTAATTGAGTCTTCTATTAGGCCAGGTGCATGGCGAGCAGGGATTGCATAGAAAAGAGAGCAAGGGTTAAATTCCTTTTCATTAAAAAAGTAAGAAAATGTAAGAAAGTCCTTGACGAGGACAAACCCCTTTTACCTAGCTCTGTAGCTGAAATGCCATGGTCATCAGGTCCACGGGGTTAGAGGCCACGAATTGCTCAAATGCCTCTATGGGTTGGCACTCTAACAGATTAAACATCACCGGCTGCAAATGCTCCAGGATTTGCCCCATAGAGTCCAGCAAGGGAGTGCCCGTTCCCTCGGCAGGTGGATCCTCGCCCGCTGGCTCCTTGACCGCTCTCCTCGCAAGTGCCGCGACCTTCCCTTGCCCCCCGTGTGGACCTTTAGGGGCAAGTGTAGTGCCAATTGCACCCTTGGAGGGCCCTCCCAAGCGGAAGGCCTGATAAGGCTGCGACCCCCCGGGCTGAATGCCCAAGCCCTCCAGCTCAGACTCGGACTCGGACTCGGACTCGGACTCGGACTCGGACTCGGACTCGGACTCGGACTCGGACTCTGACTCTGACTCTGACTCTGACTCTGACTCTGACTCTGACTCTGACTCTGACTCTGACTCTGACTCTGACTCTGACTCCGACTCCGACTCCGACTCCGACTCCGACTCCGACTCCGACTCCGACTCCGACTCCGACTCCGACTCCGACTCTGACTCCTTGACCCAAAGCTGCTTCCTTTTCTTCGATTTTTGGGCCACGATTTTTTGGTTAGGTCAGGCAGTCACAGGTTGGGGAGCATTTGCTGCTCGAGCCAACACCTCCTCTGATATTTCTCCAACGGAGGGATTGATGAGGGCCGCCTCAGTTGGTCCTGTGGCACCGACTCAAGGAAAGGTGAACTGCTTGGCTCTCAGCGACCTAGGCACCTTCGGTGGCATGGTCGTTGCATGCTAACATCGTTAGCAAAACAGTTCATTGCATGAAAATAACAAAGTTGGCTAAGGATACGGATACTTACTCGGTAAGGATTCCAAGGTCGCTTCGGGGTTGAAGAAGCTGTATTTTCACAAGTTTGCGGTTGTCACGAGCAGCCTCACATTGCAACTCTGTTCGGGCAGAAGACCAAAGGCAGTTATTCTGTTGAAGTCAGTGGGAGCCATCAACTTGGTTGTCTTGTTTACTACGAAGAAGCAAAAAAGTTCATTAGCAAAGATTAAAAGAAAGAAAATTCACCAAGAAAAAGAAAGGAAGACCTACTCGGTTCCCTAAAGTGGCAAATGCCATCGTAATGAAAAAAAGAAAAATTTCGTCTCATACGCCCTGACGTTACTGGGGTAACTGTGTATCCCTTCCTCGATCGTAGATCGCTTCGAGAGGTAAAAAGAGTCCTTGTTTTTACTCTTTTTTAAGTAATACAAGCAGCCAAGCTCTAGCGCGGTTAGCTTGCTAAGATCGTTCTCGCCGCATGCGATATACATAGCCATTGCTATCATATACGCATTTGGTGTCAGTTGTAACGGTGCGACCTTGAAGTGATCGAGGATCGACCTTATAAAAGGGTGGAAAGGAATCATTGCTTCATATTTGAAGATGTTCTCAGAGATCACATCCATTCCTTTTGGCAGACTTCGAGCTGTATACATCCTATGTTGGTAGACATCTACACTAATTGCGTATTGGTCTACTGCTTTTTGAATTTCCTCTTCTATGGCTATTGACAAGATTTCCTGTGAGGGACCCGCTTGGGCATCCTACACCGGCGAGCTCGTTCCCTCATCTGTTCTGGTCATTAAAGGGTCCATTTCTTCCGTGGTTTGAAAATGAGCGACAAGCAGGAATTACTTAGTTGTCGTACATAGTTTCGTATGATGATGTGGAAGAAAAGATAAACACCATCTTCCTTAAACCCTAGAAAAACCCTAAGGATCCATGGGGGCCACCCCTAAAAACTCAAACCTTAGGGGAAAGCCTCTTCTCCGATCAACCCCCTACAAACATCCATCTTTATCGCATGGTTATTGTCAAAGCAGGAAAGAGAAAGTAATGAAAGAATCGTCCTTACCTCTTGAGTGTGAAGATTGAACTACCTTCTGTGAACGTCAAGTGCACACTAATCTGAAAGATGGAAAGTCTGGTCTCACGAAAGCTGCTTTCTCTCTCTGAAAAAGTGAGTATTGTGACATTGCTTGAGGTGACCCTAGGATTTTATAGTGAAGGAAGTGGCGATTAGTTTTCCCGAAGCCAAGCGACATTTGGACGGAAGTCATCTCTCGCTGTTGACTGTGACCACGTGTCGTCAATCAATAGGAAGAAGTAACCGTCACAATTCAAGAAATCAAATCGTTGCTTTCTTCCGTTGAAATAATTAAGGGACGACTTGTTTCCCTCCACCATATTAAATGCGCCCTTATCCGCATTTAATACCCTGAAAAGGAATGTCGTTTCAACATGACTTACATTTAATGCGCATGGCTGTCACTTATTGCGCATAGGACACATTTGTCAGAGTAAAAGGTATTTCATTAATGGATTAATTGCCAAAGCACAACGGATAACATCTGAAGAGGTCGTTAGTTAAAACACTCTTCGTCGCATGTCGGTTGCGAAGCGATGCGACGATCAGTTGCGAAACGATGTGACTCCTTGCCTTTAGCAAAAAATACGCTAAGTATAACCAGGTCGCAGACCTTGGTCAAGATAAGAGGTGCATTAATACGGCATTGAATAAGGTCTGGTCCAGGTTGTAGACCTTACGGAAGGAAACCACTTCAGGTTGCCCTTATGGAAACGTCTTGCGACCTCCTTGTAGCCAGGTCGAATCGATCGAGCGTCATTTGGAACATATCAAATCAAGGCATAATTGTGAAGTTCTTAAGGTTCGATTCTCAAACCTTAAAAACTAGGGGACTTCTGTTATGCTTGGAAAAGTAGGGCTGACGCAGAATCTTGTCAGCATGGGTAGTCAAAACTTAAGAAGGTTCTACGACCGCTCAGATGAGGCCACGTCGCGTGATGACGTGAGTAGCATACTCCTGCTAGTGTAGTGGGTATGTGCCAGGTTGGCAAATGGTCGGAGGTGCTCCATGTGTCCAATCCCTGCACAAGTCGAGGAAATCACTCGGGCAGGTGAGCAATGAGATGCAGAGAATGATTTGCACAGCATCCATCCCAGTCACAGATTTATGAATCATTACCTTGATTCATCCCACTATAAATAGACGTCTTCTCTCCCATTTGGGGGATTGGCTAATTTCACTCTAGAATAACATACTCTCTCTCTCTCTCTCTCTCTTTTGTATTCTCAACGTTGTAACTTAACTCGCTGAATGCGACCTGACTCTACTTATTAATACAATATCAGTGGACGTAGGATTTGCCTTGTGAGCATCCGAACCACTTTAAACATTGTTCTTCACCCTTTATTCAACTAAATACTTCCATAACCATGTGTGACTTCTAAGCCCGCTTAGCATTTCTCACGTGCGAATAGTTGGTGTCAAAATCAAGCATCAACAAGTTCAATTACCCGGAGGTTTGGAACCACATACTCAGGAGATTTCATCTTCCTAGGGATATTTCGGAAGAGCTCTTTCAGTAAGTTGTAGGAGTATTCAAGGTTTTCTGTCTTAAGGAAGCGATTACAATATGAGAAAACATGTTCAAATTGGGGACAGTGGGTTATTTTTAGTAGTCTTAGTCTAGAAAATCTAAGTGCACAATACCAAACTAATTTTGAAAAGGCTCTTTAGGGCCGTGAGACCATGGACATAAAGTTCCTCTAGATTTGGAAGAAGATCAAATCTGGATACAGATACTCTTATCTGAAAGTCTTTTCTGGAACCAGTTCCCCAATTTTCAATAATGAGTGATTTTAAACTGCAGAAGACATGAGAATCTTTGATCAAGTTTTTGAGCATTTTCTTCAGTTTTCTACAGTGATTTAAGGTGAGAGAAGTTTCCTTAGTTATCAAAAATGGAATCTGCTTTAGGGAAAGATCAATATCCTTTAAAATCACTGACTGTTCTTCATGTTTAATTGGCAGAGATTTCGCTGTTGCACTCGTATAGAATTGGAATTGTCTTAATCTACATATCCATAAAAGATCTTTGTAGCAAAGAGATGGAATGCCCTCCAATCTTATGGATAAGACATGTAAGTGCTGAAGGCATTGGAGCTCTTCAAAAGTGGCTTGTCCATTTTTCGACTCTTGCTTCACACCCCAAATATAAGCACTGTCTGTCATGTCCAGGATTTCCAAACAAACGAATTGGGATATAATGCAATGTTTAATGGATTTTAGTTTATTTGTGCGGGACAAGCTTAATTATCTTAAGTTGCTCAGATTTTCCATTTCGCCTGGCAGTTCCGTAATGTTGGTGGTAGAGCAATCAAGCACTAGTAGTTTATTAAGGTTGCTTATTTGGTTTAAGTCATCAAGATAAACACAATCCTTTAAGACGAGCATGCGGAGATTGGCCAATTGGAGAATGGATTGAGGCAATGACAGAATGTGTGCTCCACTGATATTCAAGATCCTGAGTGACTGAAATGCCTGGAGAAATCCATCAGGAATGATCTTAAGGGAGAGATTTCCTTTTAGTAGTAAAGTGAAGGTCTGTGGACGATGAATTCTAAGATCAGGTAGCCTTCTTAATCTGTCATTCATGAGACTCTTTTGAGAGACTTGGACATTTTATCTTCTAAAATTAGAGCCAAACCAGTTCTTGACCGAACAAGTGACCTATATCCATCCTCCATGGAAGAAGAGATCCATATAGCAACATCTCCAACTACATCATGCATTTTCATAGTGCCCTTATGGGCTCCTCCTTCCAGCAAACAAGAGTCCATTAGATTTTCAATCAAAGCAATCCCTCTATTGTGTAAGCCCTCATAACTTTGCTGTTCATCTAACATACCTTCAGCTAGCCAACAATTTACAAGTTCACTTACCTTAATAGAAAAATCCTCAGGATACAACGAACAATATAGAAAACAAGGTTTTATGTTTCTACCCTGTAAGGAATCGTAGCTCCACTATAAGGGCTTGTAGACTTTTTCCTCTATGCCTTTCATATAAGGAATTGATTTTCGCAACTCGCTCAAAGCATATCCTTTCAGAGTTCAACCATAGTCTTTCCCCTTATAGCTGTTCCCACAGCATGATTGCCAATGGCAAGCCACTGCATTCTCTAGAAACTGCTCATGCCAAGGGTGTGATATGGTCTAAAGTAGCTACCTCCCCCACATTTCTACTAAACAATTGCCATGCTTCATCATTCACGGTCTCCAATTTCACTTCTTCATCAATCTTCATATCCCTGCATACCTCTTGGGAGCAAGATGACAATATGATCTTAGAACTGGCATTAGTTTCAGGTTGTGGGATGCCGATACAATCCAAGTCAATTGCCTCCCAAACATCATCAAGGATAAGAAGATATTTATGCACCTGTTAGAGCCTCTCATGAAGTCGAATTGCTAATCTGTCCAGACTTTCTCCCATTTGCACCTTCAAATTCAATCTCTCTGCTATTTGTACTTGGATCCTTTTTAAATCCATTTCCTTGGACACAATAGCCCATATTACCATGCCAAATTGTTGTGCGGAAGAAGAGTTCTTGAGATTGTCGTTCAAGTTCTTTACCAGAATAGTTTTGCCAACACCTCCCATGCCCCAAACACCAATCCTCAAAACATTATCGTCATTCAATAGATTCATAATTTTGGCTAAAGTTTTTGATGCTGTAGATTGACTTTCAATTGAAGGTCCAGGGATGTGCTCAAGTATTTTTGCCAAGTAATTGAGACCCACCATTTGAGAAGTAAGATTTCCAGCCTTCAGAATTCTTTCTACTTCCTTGAACATTCTGGCCGTCTCCCTACTAAGTCTACAATTTTCTTTGAAATTAAAGAACCATCCGTGATTGACTATTCTAGCAGTGTGTGCCACTTCAAGCGTGAATTGTTGAACTTCTCTGAGCCACTCTATTATTTGAGTATAAGCCAAGTCAACTTCTTCTTTCACTTTATTTTGAAGATCTGTTAGGCTCTTCATCTGCTTTTCCAGAGCATTGCAATTTGATTGGAACCTGATGAAGTTCTTCATCCCCAGACATGAGCCAAAGAATAATTGACTAGACTGTACCACTGCTGTACTGAGGATTAAGGTTGTTGGTTTTTATGCTGGAAAGCGACGAGGAGAATGATATTAAGCAAAAGAGAGAGACAGCTGCATGGATATGCTTTGTTTTTCATAAAAAAATATAGGGTTAATTTATACACAAACCAATCCTCTGTTTCACCTAATGCAGTGGAGATTTTTATAGATTTGAATTAAAACTAGATACATTCAACTAATACAAGTTCATGTCAGTCTAATACAACACTTAAACATTGCAGGTTTCAACTAAACCTATCACAAATTACATCATAAAATCCATCAACACAACAAATCTAACTACTGCAATTAGAACAGCCACTTTGAACTCTTGCCGCCAAAAAAAACTTTCAAAAATATTGACAAAATTTTCTACATTTCCAACAAAATATCACCTGCTTCAACACTCCTTGATATTTTTGCTGAAACACCAAGTTTGAGCCTTAAATCTTCAAACTTGGCTTTGGATAAAGCCTTGGTCATGATGTCTATCACCTGGTTTTCACCCCTGCAATGGACCAGCTCAACTTCTCCATTTCCTTTAGCCTCCCTTACCTCGTGAAATTTAATTTTAATGTGCTTCATACGGCCATGCAAGACAGGGTTTTTAGCCATTGCTATAGTAGACTAATTATCACAAAGGATCACAGTAGGCCTCTTCTGAGTTTGCTTTAAATCATTTAGAATTTTCCTAAGCCAAATGGCTTGGTTCACGGTAGCAACAGTAGAAATGTACTTTGCTTTTGCTGTGGATTGAGCTACAATTTCCTGCTTTTTGGATAGCCAATAAATAACACTTGAATTCAAGAAAAATACATAGCCAGAAGTATTCCTCATATCATCAATGGATCCAGCCCAATCACCATCCGAGTATCCAACAAGTTGAAAATTTTCAGACCTCTTGAACTACACACCAAATTTAGGACTGCCTTTAATGTATCTCAGCACCCTCTTGGCTGCCCTGAGATGAATTTCACTCGGGTTGCTCATATGGAGAGAAGACTTGTTGCAAATATTAAATCAGGCCTGGTTGCTGTTAAGTACAACAAACAACTTATTAAGCTTTTGTACAGACCCTCATCTACATTCACAGCCCCATCTTCCTTCACAACCCAATCTTCTCTGCTCAGTTTCTAATTTGTAACTAGTGGAGTGTCCACTGATTTGCACTTATCAATGCCAAACCTTTTAAGAACTTCATTAGCATACCTCCTTTGATGTCCCACATATGGCTTGATTGATTTTCATACCAAGGAAGTAGGACATTTCTTTCAGGTCTGTCATTTCGAATTCACAATGCATGACTTCTTAAACTCATTAAACTAACTCGGACTACTTCCAGTGATGAGAAGGTCATCAACATAGAGTGAGACAATAATTAATTCTTCTTCCAACTCTCTCACATACAAGGTGTGCTCATTGGGGCTCCTCAAATGACCCAGACTGATCAAATAGTCATTGATCCTGCTGTACCAGGCTCTCGAAGCCTGCTTTAGGCCATACAAAGCCTTCCTTAAAAGATACACTTTGTTCTCCTGGCCTTTGACTTGGTACCCTTCTGATTGCTTAATATAAATCTCTTCATTGAGCCAACCATTCAAGAATGCAGACTTAACATCCAGTTGAAAGATTTTCCACCCAAATTGTGTCGCCAAAACAAGTAGCAACCTAATTGTATCATGCCTAGCCACGGGTGCAAATGTGTCCTGAAAATCAACTTCATATTGTTGAGCAAATCCCTTGACAACCAGCCTAGCTTTATGCTTATGAACTAAACCGTCCGGATTAAGTCTCTTCTTGAATTTCCACTTGACTTGAATCACTTTTCTATCTCTGGTCTGTCCACAAATTTCTAGGTCTGATTTTTCTCTATCATTGCTAACTCCTCTTACATAGCAACTCTCCAAGCTTTTGATTTTGCTGCTTCAAAGAAGCTTGTTGTTTCAAGTGCAACCATGTTGCACCTCTCATACACCTCAGCCAAAGATCTGGTACCTCTAACCGAGAACTCCTCTTCTGCATCACTTTCATGTTCTTCAAAATTCTAACCACCAACAGCTTCAGTCAGCCGTGGTTTTGCCTCTTCATCAACTTTGTCTTCCTCCCAATTCCAGACACCTTTCTCATCAACTTTAACATCTCTAGTAATATGTATCTTCTTAGTTTCTAGAATGTACACTCTATAGGCTCTGGATTGATTGCTATATCCAATGAATATCACTATGATTGCTTTGTCATCCAACTTACTCATTTTGATTGCTGGAACAAGAACATAACAAATGCTTCCAAAGACCCTTAGATTGTCCACAACTGGCTTGACTTCATACCATGCTTCATAAGGAGTTTGGTTGATCAAGGCTTTTGTGGGAAGCCTATTAAGTAGATAGACTGAAGTGTTAACAACCTCTACCCAGAAACACTTCGGTAGCTTCTTCTCAGCAACCATACATCTTGCCATTTCTACAACAGTCTTATTCCTCCTCTCACTTACTCCATTTTGTTGTGGAGTATAGGGTCTGCTGTATTGGTGCTTAATTTCAGCCTCTATGCAAATTGTTTCAAACTCCTTTGAAGTATACTCACTCCCATTGTCACTCTTCACTATTTGAATACTTAAACTAGTTTGGTTTTCAACTTGCAGCTTAAACTTCCCAAAAACAATAGCCACTTCATTATTTTGTTTTAAGAAGTACACTCAACACATTCTAGACCAATCATCAATGAACAAGACATAGTATTTGCTCCCATTCAATGAAGGTGTTTGCATAGGTCCGCATACATCTGTGTGGATGAGTTGGAGTTTCTCTGCAGCTTTCTAAGCTTGGTTTGTGGGAAAGGGTTGTCTACTTAGCTTACCAAGTTGACAAGTAGGGCATACAAACTTAATTTCATCAATTTCGAGCATGTTTTGGACCAGCTATTTGGTTTGAATTTCTTTAAGGCCATGGAAGTGAAAATGGCCAAATCTTTTATGCCATATTTCAGATTCATCTACCTTAGCACTATGAGCCTTAAATTTTGATTTTTTTCCACTCAATGGGGAAGCTCTTTCCCATCATCCTAAACTTCATAAGTTCACAGCCCTTACTATCTAAAATTTTGCAAGATTGGTCCTGAAAATGCAGGACATATTTTCTCTCTAATATTTGTCCTACACTAAGCAAACTTTGGCTCATTTCAGGAACATAAAGAACATTAGAAATCAGCTTGGTACCTGATTGAGTTTGCATAGCCACATCACCTTTGCCGTTGACATCTACAAACTCTCCATTCCTTATCTTAACTCTGGACTAATATGCCTTGTCCAAGCTGATGAAGCTTTGCAAATTTGGAGTCATGTGATTGGTGTAGCCGCTGTCAATCAACCAAGTCTCATTGCAAAGTGGAGCTACGCAGTAGGATGCCATAAGCAATTGCTCAGCTTCTTGGCCTTGCTGCTAGTTTTCAACCATGTAATGCTTTCTTTCTAGCTAGTATACTCGTAAAATAATCACTAAAACTCATTAAAAATATATATAAGAAAATACACACACATATATATATACGAGTAATAAAGTATAGGCCCATATTTAATTTTTCTTTATATACAAATATTTACAAAATATTCTCAAAAATAGCAACTTGACAGTGTAGCCCGACCCTTCCACTGCATGATGTTTCGAGCGACCGCAACTCACCTATTACCTGTAAAACATTAAAAACAACAGAGTGAGCACTAATGGCTCAGTAAGTAAACCCACTATGCTACCCTTCTCTCTCTCCGTTGCTTAAAATTCCGAATTTTCTTTCCTTACATCACATTTCCCAATTATTCTCTATTCTTTCTCTATTCTTCTCTATGTCTCTGTTCTTTCTCTATTTTTTCTCTGTTTTACTCCCTGTTTTCTAATTTTTTAACTACCCATGATAATGAGCATGGTATTATGCATATTCATGATGCAAATGCACAAATGCATAAATTATGCATTTTCTTTTCTATTTTCTTATTCTTATTCTGTTTCTTTTTCTTTATTTATTTTTCTTTCTTTTCTTTTCTTTCTATTCTTTCTTTCTTTTCTATTATTTCTTTCTTTCTATTCTTGCCGATCAGACTCGGTTGAGGCATGGATTTGGAGCCTTGGCCATGCGAGCGAATTCTTTGGGTACAATCCTCACCCACACACACTTCTAACGGACTGTAAAATTCTTCTTTCTGAATTCTGAGGCCGCTCAGTAAAGGCAGCATGCATGTGGGACTATGTCACTCACGGCTCCCCATCGCAACAACCTTCTCTTTTTTTAAATCTTTTTTTACACTTCTTTAAGAAAAATTCAGATTTGAATATCTTTAATATTCTCATTTCTTTCTATTTTCTCTTTAACATATTTTAGGGCTTTTTCATGCTCTTATGAATATGTATGCATGTTGATGGTTTCATGCTTATAATTCTTTCTAAATTCACATATTTAAATGCAATTATGCATTATGGAATGCAAACATGTCATTCTCTACCATCTACAAACTCATCCCAAAGTAACACATAATCATTCTCATACATACACTTCTCATTGGCATTTCATCAAACAATTCATGTGCACAAATTAACACTAATTTGGGTACACTTCTATCTCTATTTTATGTCACCAAAAATTTGGAATAAACTCCTCCATAATTAACACCAAATCTGCCCAAAATACACACTTCAAAATTTTTCACTTCAATTCTTCCAAATCTCATCCAAACATTCATCAAATAACAACTACACCAACACAACTTCTCATGAATAGCTTCTAATCATTATTCAACACCAAATCCATCAACAATTATACATGTAACACATATATATGCATAAAGAAAGTTCTCTATACAACATAACTTAAATCATGCTTAGGGTAGGATTTACTTACCTTTGATATGAGCAAATTCAACCCTTTAAGAATCTCCTTTGATCAAACTCTCTTCCTCTTAA